AGAAGAGATGCACCAGCAGAAGTTGCGGCAGGTAGAGAGGGAGGCAGATCGAGGGAAGTGGATCAGGCGGTAACACAATTTAAGGTGTTGGTTTGGTTTTCAGACCGGAACTAGGTGACTGCTCTATCCTATTCCACTTGGTTATACCCTCTAGATGTATTTATATGGCATGCGTATTGTATACTCACGCATTAATGACCAGTGTTATCTTATTCCCTTCAACTCCCGCGGTGGTAGCGTTCTAAATGTTAGAAATGGCGCGTTACGGCGGAAGGGGCTTCAGCATTGGTGGGTGACGTGGTGGCTGAGTCGGGTTGGGATCGTGGCTGCGATAACACCCTCTCAGTCCTGCCGCAAGAGTGACGCTAACAGTGCAATGATCAGGCCCAGTCCCTTTTGAATGCGCCTATATGAAGTTCGTGCCAGCCCCCCGTACTCTTACCTTCAGGATATCACCTCACCTTCTTTTGTCTACCTTCCTTCACACTACCAATGATGGCCAAGTCATACTTCCCCCTTCAATTCTCCAAGTCCAAGGATACTATCTCTACCGACAAATCTACTACGTCTGTTTCTAGTCGCGGCGGGACTCTCACTCGTTCTGGTCGGAACCTCAAGACACCTATTCGTCGTCTCTTTTTCAAGCTTGACGTTCTGAAGCCTGGAGCGAGCGGGGTTGAGAACAAACGCGGTCATGTGGACGAACCGCTTGGCCTCAATTACGGACCATCCCTGGACACCATCGTGGATACACCCCCTCTCTCCTCCGACGTCGCCACCTCCCCTATCTCCGACATCGATACTCCAGACTATAGTCAACGTTTTAAGCACATTCGCTCTCCGGCTCAACACTATACTCCACCTCTTCCATGCATGGCTCTCCAGAACTCGGACCACAGTATAGACGCAGTCGTTATCAGCACCCTCCTCAAGCTACCTTTTTGTTGCCACGAGGATTTGCTCACTATGACCCCGGCTCGGATTATCGCTGTCGCTCAGGAGATGAACGAACGTCTGCCTGAGGCTCTCAGAATTGACTTGAGCGAACCGCGCGATCCCATTGACATCAGGCGGGAGTTGGAGAGGTTGGTTGGGATTGTAAAGAAGGCTGGTGAACCTCCGGTTCCCGGGGCTCCGTTGAAGAGGACGAAGAGTAGGGGGCGAAGGGGCTCTGGAAAGTATTTGTACGAGGACATCTTGGGCGAGTTGGACTTGAGGGCCATCAGCCCTCCGACGAGCCCGTTGGCTGTTATCAGCGCGTCCAGGCGTAGGAGAGGGCTTGGGGAGGCTGACATTGCGATGATCATGAGCCCGACGAAGTTAGCTATGTTACGAGAGGAGGATGAGGACGAGACTGAAGTTATCGGGAAGGGGGAGGATGGAAGAGCGCAGGCCAACGAATTGGAGAGCGATTCGGACGAAGACGTTTTTCGCGCCATCAAGAAACGTAGGACCTCCGCGTCTTCGATGGATGATAATTTCGAGATGATCACACCCACTATGCGTCGTATCAAGGTTCCATTGATGCTGAAGAAGCTTTATGATGAGATGAACACCTCTCCTACCCCGCACCGTATTATCAGGGCTCGCTCTCAGCGCAAGGTTGTATTCGACGAAGCAACTATCCACCCCTCCACTAACGCCAGCAATGTCATTGTCAAGACCACCGTTATCGACCGATCTCTGGTCCATACTCGTGCTCGCTATCGTTCCTCTTCCTCCAAGTCCGCAAGTGACCACGGCCCCTTGCAGACTTCCACGCCCAAGTTTACTCAGCGCGACAGCGGCTGCCGAACTATCCAAGAAGACTTCTCTTCCCCCATTGCCAATCGGAGTTTCCAGAAGGCTAGGCAACTCGCCGCCGCGAAGGACACTATCTCGGAATGGAGTGCCAGCAGCAAGATACCCAGATACCACAGGGCGAAACGAGGCTCTAGGACCACCTTCCGACCGAGCGACTCGGCTGCCTTCGAGATTGAGAGCAATAACAAAACCTTTTAATTGTTTGCTCTCGCTCGTCTTCATACTATCCTATACATATGCCTTGCCATTTAATACCTTCACGTATACCTGCATTTATATCTCTTTACCCAAGGTCTTATGAGGTAGGAGCTACCGGCCCAGTGTCGAATATGTTTAACGTCACCAAGTTCTATACCTTCGTGGCTGGCTTCTTTCGGTATCACCTCCCTGGGACATCCAAGCTAGACAAAATCCTGTACTGTTTCATCTTCCTCGTCTAGTACGCCGCTTTGGCTATACATTTGTGCTCAGCCTTTCCCAACCACCAATATTCCTCGTAGTGGATGGTAATTGGTCGGATAAGCCCATCGACCAGCGCCCACTAACGAATTGCTTCCACATGTTCCAATAAGCACCAAAGTTTAATCAAAGGCGTTTTTTTTTTACACTTGGGGGGTTTGGGGGTTGTCTCTTTGCCATCCTCCATATTAGGGGTTTTCCGCTGGGGGTCGTCGAGCCCTGTTCTAGAACGAGATTGCACAATTGCAAAGCGCTGCCCTTTTCCGGCCCTCTACGACGAGGATGGCTTCCGGAGGAAACTGGATTCATGTTCGCTTCATGTTCGCCTCTTTATCGTGGCTGCGCGTCAGGGTTAGTGCAAGGTTAGAATGCGTGTCTTGTAGTCCTGTATACGTTATCACAATCTACTTCATGTTTATTGACAAAAAGTGCTTCCATCGGTACCGTGTTACACGCTCCCTCCACTCAAAGCCTAAAATTGTCCGCACAGTTCGCAACGCGTTCACTTATCAGGATCTCGTTCTTGCTAGTACCACGAGAATTTACATTTATAGAAGTTTAGTCAAGCAGAACAAGTCTGTGTCCATAGAAGGATTTTCTGAAGGCTGAAATGGAACAGCAACAACAATGCGAAGAAATGGGGGTGAAGAGAGGGGGAGAGAGGGATTCGGAATGACGTAGGCGGTGGGATGATGGAAACATGAACGTTCGATTTCCTAACGCCGGGCAACACCACTCCATCACGATCGATGGTCGCCGTGGTAAGCCCCAATGCGCACCACAACACTTAGACACGATCCTCCCTTGCATCTCCTTCGGCCCGACTGAGGACCCGGCCCAAAGCGACTTGATGAAGGATGAGAACAGAGGCAAATGACTAGTAATATCATATCGCCATCAGGGAAAAATACGAATGCTCCGCAAGATAGACGTACCTGACAGGTAGCAGTAATGTTTGCGAAGGCTGACCCAAAGCTTCTGCCCATAAAGAAACCGATTGCCCCAGCAATGCTGGTGGGCACGTTGATGATCGCTGATTCAATTATGATAGTAATGATAGAAAGGTACGGCTCAGTAGGTTCTTTCGGCCCAAGGCAGATGGTCACGATGCGTCTTTGAAGAACCAAACGAACCGTGATATAAATGGTCGCAAAAACGTGTAATATGGCATTGCACACAAGTGATCCTCCCCGAAGGACATGCCCCAGTCGACCACGAGGCTCCCCCAGTGCTAAACCAACCCAGCCCCCAGCTTCAAGATACAAGTTAGGCAAACATCGGGGTTTGTAGTGAAATAGTTACCTAATGTCGCACACAACAAGCATAAGGGAAACACCCAAACAACGTTTTCAAGCCGTGAACGATTATGCCCAAAAGCTCTTCTAACCATATAGCACCGCCACACCTTTGAAGAGCTAAATACTGGAAGCATATTATAGTTCTGTGCGGAATTTTACTCACGATGACACCGTCCGCGAGGGTCGCAATCAAGACTAGGCCTCCAGCGTTGAGATTCAGTATACGTCTATCAATATTTTTGGGAAAACGAGCTGCACAGTTGGCGAAAAGAAAGCAAATAACAAGGAAGCCGAGGTTGAGGAGCATGAGCGCAGCAATGTACACCCGCCAGAAATTTTGTTGGATGCGACCCTTTCGTGGCTTCCGCGATAATAGGAGGATGGAAATCACCCCGAGATTGACGAGTCCGCCAATAAAAAGTGCTTGGACAACCTCCACAATACCATAGATTGTTAGCGTGTCTAGAGAGGTCCATGTGGTGCTATTGTCCATTTTTTTTTATCCGTGTAAGGTGGTAGAAGCTTGGGAGAATCGTAAGGAAATTTGTATATATGACTGAACATGATGCCAATTCGATGTAGTCTTTTTGTATCGCTATCTGGTACACAGGTTACAACTTATCCATGGCAACAGTCATCTGGGGTTCCTCTAAGCACCTCGAAAAGGTGTTGATACGTTTGAAGTTACTCGGGAGGAAGTAGCGACTATATGTAGGTATGATGCATTCATCAGTTTCATCACTGATGAACAAACCGCAGTTCAGCTTGTCATTCAGCTTTAAGTTGCGTAACTGCTGAAAAGTTGGGTGTGATATAAGTATTCTATTAGCGTTTCCGATCACTGGGTTTATCCATCGCTGGAGTCGAAGTGCAACACACTGTGACAGGTGGACGAGTTATGGTGGTCAACCTACTCCTCGCCTCCACCATTAGTAACCTCCCCCAACAAGATTCTGATTGTCGTCATTCAATCAAGGATATATCTAGGCGAGTTCACTATGCACATGCTGGATATTTCCTTCTTGACCTCTGAATACTGTCTCAGTTCCCATGCATTCTCAATTCGCCCTTTAGTGGGGTTGCCTGCCGAATCCCGATGGCAACCTTCCAATGATATATACAAAACATTATCAGATCGTGTGTTTTGGGGTCAGGCACATCAGTGTTGTGCCGGCCACCGTAAGTAACCATCATGGGTTGTCGCAACTTTACAGCGGTCACTGACAGCGGTGAAAATCGCCGAGCAGCAGCAGTTGCCAGCAGTTGTGCTAACCGCTAACCACTAACCACTAACCATAACAGTTGACACGGTTGTCTGAAGGCACAACACTGGGCCACATCATCTCAATAATCGATAGTTGAGACATGCGATATCATCAATTCCATTATTCTATCCAACACGCGCGGCTACAAAAGTGATAACCGATTAATAGTACAAAAGGGCCTGACCGGGAATTGAACCCGGGACCTCCTCGAAACGTAACGCCGCGTGTCACCCTAACAAGGAATCATACTACTAGACCATCAGGCCCCGTGCCTTTATTTGGTTTCATCGCAACAATATCAAGACGCTGTAATTAACAATTTGTCGGACAATTTGGACCACGTGTATAGTCAACGTCCAGAATACAGCAAGTTGGGGCCGATACAACATATATTGATGGGAGCAAAAATACATTTCTGGGCAATAATGAGCGTCAACGAGCTGGGTAAAGGCGCAAGTCCTCACCTTATATCCTACAGGTGCCCCTTAAGCTCTTCCTACAAACGCTTTATGAGTGGGTAATAAACAAAAGCAGCGCGAGGCTTCCTCACCCCTAACACGAGTTGGGATGAACTTTCCCAGATATTCCACCATTTTGGCTGTTTCTTCACCAACAGGCTTGATCCAACGAGGAGGCAACGAGAACCCATACTACAAAACCAAACCTATTATTTTGATGTGCATTTGGGAGAAAAGCGATCAAAACACACCGTGCCGGTGTCCCTTAGATGGACAACGTAGGAGAACTTGATGCCCATGATTTTGTACATCCAATCGACGATATTCCCCGGAGCAGGGTAGAGGAGATTGCAGAGAATACCAGTCTAAAGACTTGATCAGCTCACGCTAGGGAGAGAAAGAATTCTGACAATCACTTCATAATATGTCCCATGTACTGACTTCAGTGCCTGGGTTGCACCGGTGGCAGCCTCAATCAGGTCCTCTGCATCCTTCGGCCACCTCTTGCAAGTGTACGAAAATGGCGCAGAAACTAATCATCGATACTATTAGCGGGCTTCATCTGAGAACGGCATGTTCCACTTACGCATTTGGCCATAGCTACGTAGATCTAAAAATCCAACAAGGTTGGGCAAAGTAGTGACGAAGTTTGCAATATTATTCACTTCCGGAGCCTCGAAAGGACGATGTCCAGGATACCAATGTGAGCACGGGTCAGCTGGTAACGTGGGGCGCAATTTTGAGGAGGCTGCCACCATCGGAACATCTCCAACCGTAGACTTCCACTTGAATCCCTATGAACAACGTCAGACGTCAGTTAGAGTGGCTGGAGCGGGAGGCCTGGATCAAGAAAGCTTACCCAGTTCCTAATCAACGACACCAAGCGATCAAAACGCCAAGAGTCAATGAGAAGTATACAAAGAAGCACCAAAGTAGATCAACGCACCTGTTCATATCCACACCCATGCACTTCGTGTGGGGCCCAAGGACCTGGCGGTTCTTATACCTGCGTCGCGTCAGGACTTCGAATGACGAAAGGACAGAGCCAAATGCACCAGTAGCGGTCAACCTCCCAAGTATACGAGTATCCGTCTGGGTTTGGAGCGGGGATAATATGGAAGTCCTGTGGGAAACATTGAGGGTCATTCTATGGGTGTGCTGAGACAAATATAGCATACGAAGGTCTCAAGAAGATAACGCAGGGAGTGGGGTTCGGAGGCATTCGCAACGAGTGCGTGGGTGAGATAAGTCGACGTCGCCGTTGCAATCCACTGCGCATTATCATCACGATATGGTTTGAGTAGATAAATGTGTTACGCACCTCGCGAGCGTGCTGTGCACCTACGATTACAATCCCAAGCTTCCCAGAACGAGGCTGGCGGCGCGGAGCTGAGTCAGAAGTGGGTGCTGACACTGTGATAGCAAGCATCTCGCGCCCTTCCGCACTATGACCAATATTATGCAATTTGATAAGGTCTGGATGAAGCTCTGCGAGTCCTTGAATAAATGCATCGATTTCATACAACGGATGGTAATCCTTGTGATACGTCGAGTCCGTGAAAGACTCTATAACCCAATCAGGCGGAGCAGAGGAATTGGGACGGATTTCCGATTCCGTTATGATGGAAAGTGTATGTGGAATGTCGGTGAGCTCAGAGGGGAGATCAGCGCTGTAAGAAGGGACGTAGATATCAACATGGGAGTCGGCAAGCTGCCAGACGTCGAGTCCATTTTCCTACAAGTGAAAGCATGCTTTAGTGACAGAAGTCATTAAAGTTATGGCACATACAGATACTGAGCGCATGATATGATCTCTGTGGTTGCCATCGTCCAAAGTGAATCGCCTGAGAACACCAGTCGTGCGAGGTTTTGGGACTGCTTTTCCGCTGAGGACGGCCTGATCGTCCGCAAGCACGAGGATAGAGACGAGCAAGATGGAGTATATTCGAACAAAGGACGCGATAAATCCCGAGGTCATGGCTGTTCACCAGGGTGGTGGAAGTCCTAGGTAGCGTGAGGAGAAGAGGACTAAGGGTGGTAGTCTGGTAGAGTATATTGATTACATAATGGATCTATCTCCATTCAATGCCCGGACCTTACCTCTCTTCCTCTAGAATATACTGTCGTGTGAGTCGTTGCTGACAAGGGATAGGCTGACCAACACCGAATTTAACAAATCCTAATGTTATCCAGCATCTATAAGACCGAGATTCTATCCGTTTCTCGCAACCCAATAGCGCGAGAGTAAGTACCGACAAGGGAGAGACTTTCAACGCTCGCAAAGTGATACGTAAACATCCCGGAAAAATGATTGTCAGATCCAATCTCGTATTTCCTCCTTTCCTCCATCAATTCCTCGTACAACCTCTCGGATTTGGCCATGACCAAATTGTGCAACTCAACCGGAAGCTTGGCGAGTGGCCCTTTGTCCTCTAGCATCGGCTGTGCCCGCCTCTTGTTGCTGACACAGAATATGAATGGTGAAAACGACTCTGATATGAGGTCAACGAGGAACAAGGTGAGAATCTTCCGGTGTCTGGTTTCGCAGGATGTTGAAACTTAAACGGCTGGTGCTGAACTATATCGGGGAATGTAATCACCCGCCCTTCCTCTCCCATGCACAGACATTAACAAACACGTCTGAAGGTCCAGTTTCTCACTGGTGACCATACAAAACAACCCACACATCAAAGGGTAGAGCGAAGGATATACCAGGTTGAGCACCGCATTGCCCAAACCTGGATGCAAATTTTTCCTGTGATTGGGGACGTTCTCGAGTGAGCGTCTCTTGAGAATCTTTGGGAGTCTTAGGGTCCGACTTCACAATGTCTCCATGGAATAGGCTGAAACAGCTGGTTTTCATATAAACTTTACAATTGAGTTTTTCGAGACAATGGTCGACCATCGTTTTTGTAAAATTATCATGTTATTCCATGACCAAGGCTCTCTATTTCTAATTGCAGACTCTTGAAATATTTGTGTTTTGGGGTAATGAAGATTTCCTTAACCCGGGCCCTGTAGAACTCATCTTCTTTTTCTGATCTTCTTTGTCTGTGACTTGATATATAAAGTGGCATCAACATGGCGTTTCTATTTCCATAGTCAAGGGTATCTGGGAACAGCTGAAATTTGTACAAGCCATCAGTCACTTCAAACAGAGAGTATAACATTCATCTCGCTTCTGAATTCGTTATCTGTTCACCGAGAGTAGTACGAAACAATGCCTAGTCTTGTCCTCGTGTTCATCATCCGCAGAAGGAGGCGATGCTTCAACTGTGGATGTGGCTCAAGACCAGGAAATGCTGGCGCAGTAGATGCAACGTCGGAAGACATGATTGGGAGGT